GAAGCAGGAAGTCGATCCTGCTGGTCATTCATTGGCTAAAAGGGATATGCAAATAACTGACATTAACCATCCCAGAACACTTGTTCCTGACTAACTAATGACTCCCCAATGATGGTGGTATTACAACTCCAGCAGCAGAGGGTTTAAACTCTGTATGTGCACTGGTTTAACTCAAATCACTGTGCGCACAAACTCCAGGCACCATGACCACTTAAAATAACTGAAGTGCTCTTGGTACTTGGAGTAACCCTTTGATTATAGTGTTATTAACCTGCTGAAACATCTGCTGCAGTTTTGGCTTAGGATATTGCTGGTTTTAGGGTAGATTAGATACATTCATTTCAGACATGTTCCATAATTGTCATGTATGAGTTTTATGCAAAATATTTTCTATAAAAAAAAACAAAATTCCTATGAGAAAGAAATTTAGGAGAATATTAGATACATTTTTATCATTTATTTATAGGGTGTTTTTTTTACAGTGTTTAGAAATGCATGCACCGGTTCTCCAGATATGTAAAAATTGAAATAGTATTTAGACTTAATGAATTTCTAGCATTTCTCCTGTTCCCTGTTGGATAGTATCATAACGTACATTGCACAATTATAATGGTTTAATGGGGAGAATTCTACTGTGATGTAGGTTTCTGTAACTCTGTGAATTCCCCAGACGTACATATACACTGAGGCCTAGATCCACTTAGCTACATGGAATATATATTTTCTGTTAAATGGAAAAGTAATAGTATAACAAGCTATGCTGATTGCTAATATAAAAAAAGACTAGACGTTCATTTAAGATGTTTATCGTTTAACATTTTAAAATGAAACTCTGGTAGGCTTATGGAAATCCAGATGTATATATGTTTTTTTGCCATGATCTATTGTGGTTATCTACTGACAATTTGGAATTTATTTTTTTATTTTTTTATTATTATCATAAAAAAGTAACAAATCAGGTTAAGTTATCCAATATTTCTTATGTTTATTGGAAATCTTGTCATCTTGGATACTCAATGTTTCCTCACATATGGTTTTGATTGCAGGTTTAATACCCAAAAATGAAACATTCTGTAGACACTGTGAGGGTACACATGCAATCTAACATGTTAGAAAGAGCATTTGGTGTTTTATAATTTTATAATAGTGTTTATATTCTGATAATGTAAAATCCATGTCTATACATGGTTTCACATCGTTTACTCAGAAACAAATATACACTATCCACATTTCCCGTTTTGTTTAAAAGATGTGTTAACTTCTATCCATATTGTATTTGACCCATTCATACGAAGAGCTATTTTATACCCATATTGACATTTTTGCTTTGCTTATTCACTCTCTTACCATTTAGTGTACATAAACATTGTTTTATACACTGTTTTTGTAGGCTACATACGGTAATCATAAATCCAATCATTTAGAATGGCAAACAATCTATATCATTAGAATTTTTTTGAATTTGCCTTTGTTAAAGTTTTGCCTCTTACAATTTGTAGAAAACTAGTTCAGCAACAAAGAGTATATAAAGCAGATCTATCCATTGGTCCCGATTTTAGGAATACCTCATATACTCATATTACAATATTTTTCATACATTGTATAACCAGAGGAGAACATTGCTATTTGAAGCAAAATGTAAATTTTTGATATGTTGGGTATCTAAGTTTAATAGTGGTCACCGAACCCAAGATTTCTAAACAGAAGTATCTATTTTAGAAAAAATTGACACCTCACTAAATGTAACTATGGGACTTTTGCGTTTAATTCAACCATTTTATTACAAGTCTCTGCCAAAATGTCAAGAATTTGACACATAATTTTTTTCTGCTGCAGCAGACGCCCCAAATTTGTGCTCTGATAGATAGTCCTAATGGATCCTGGAAATCTCGAAACATTACTAAGCTGTGTGTGCTTGTCAGCATTTTGGAACATCTATCTCAGAAATCCATAACCTGCAGGGATAGCCACTGTTTTTGTAACTGTGTCAGTGAGCTATTAATCATGAATTGGGTTTACACAACATACAGCAGGTTTTTAATTTCTTCAGCATGTGGATATGTTCGATTCACATACACTGTAACATCATTGTTGTCACACACTTTAACAACTATTTCAAAATAACTTTTTAGGCCACATTGTAAAAGTTTTTTTTCTAAGGTATTGAGGCTTATTTATGTACTTGTATTAGGTTTCAACACTAGATTGAAAGCAGCTACAGTCACAGGAGTACACTTAACATGTCAGCACAGCATAGATGAGTTGACTATTGACAGAACATTCCTTATTGTACAAACAGTGAATTAAATAGAACTGGAGGAGTATACTTTTAAGGACATTTGTAGTACATCTATTAATTTTCAATCTTCTTTGTGAATCCAATGCATTGTTAACAGGTTTGGTTGAGTCCGCTAGAATTATAATGTACATTAAATAATTAAATTAGTATAATGGGGGAGAATTCCTCTTTGACATTGATTCTAATTAATGCAAATTCCCCAAATGAAAATGTATACAAAAGCATAAGTTTCCTCTGCAACATGGATCGTGAATATATTTTTTTTCTTTTAGAGGGAAATTCATTGGAAGTATATTGATTGTGAGTAAAAAAAGAGACTTTCGCTAAAATGTTTATATTTTGACATTTTAAAAGAAGAACCCTGGAGGAAAATGGATGGGCTGGAGTTTAACCAATTTTGAAACAAGCTTGTATTTTGACCTATGGTGACATCATAAATCGATCAGAGGAGGGTGTTGAAAGTTCATTTGAGCAGGCCCCTCACCACCTCAAAACTTGCATTGAATTTACTAGTCTATCTACCCATGTACGACCATGTAGAATATGGTGATGCTTTCTAACTAATGATAATCATCTGCTGATGCTAGACTATTTTTGTGGTATTAATATATGTTTAAAAAAATTACTACGAAATAAAGTAAGAATATAAGCACAATACAGTGCTCAATTTGTAATTTGTAATTATCTTTAGAGAGGATTATGTTACTCTGTCATATACTTAATCACTAATGGTAAAATTATTAAATCATTTACTCACACATTAGAATATTTAATGGAGAGGAAATTGGTTAATGAACAAGCGTAGCTCTCAAACATGGATGGAGATATAAATAAATAATGAAAGAATGGTGAATAAATAGTAAATATATAAGTGAAATAAGAATATCAGAAAGCTAACAGTAAGTGACAAGAGGAAGAGGAGGGAGGAGTCACCACTGTTAGATTTCACACTTAGAAAATGAATTTTTCTTTTTTTTTTTAAGTGTGCTCTCATTGCCAGATCTTATTTAAACCTGCCAACACCCCTATGGACATCCAAACGAGCTCCAACAAGTACATCACATTCTCTACTATAAAACAATCACACATCTATTAAGAAACTGGATTACAACAAACCTTATTGTCATAGAAACAGTGTTAACAAAGAAAGAAAATAGAATATTTGAGGTACGTTGCAGAACCTGCGAGTCTCTTCATTTCTAACACGATACCAGAGATACCACGAGACCTACATGTCTACTTCTTTTGCATCTAACTTTGGTACCTTATTGCTTGAGATATATGCGAGACCTGGTAGTCTCAATTTCTTGCACTGACATTTGATTTTCTGTTACAACCAACCAATAAAAAACGGTATTTACAAAAAAACAAAGAAACAAAATAAACTAATAATAATTCACTTGACCAAATGGCTATATTTGAAGATAGGGCCAAACGGCAATATATGGTCAATGAAAAATTTGATATGGAAAAAGAAACACCACGTGATGAGTTTAATATCAGTGATAATCACGATGAGATGTGTAATCTATAAGAGAAATTGCTACTTAGAGAACTAACGATAAAATGGGAGGTTTATACTATTAAAAGATATCTCTTTATATAAGAAGAGATTACTCCCCGTGGGTTAAGATTTACAAAATTTCCCATGTTTGATCAAGGGGATAAACATTTTATGGGAATTTGGGAGGGAGCAAGTAAACTAGAACCCTTTATAGGGACAGAGGATTTTGTGGCCCTGACAAATCAAATCACTGCCAAATTAGACAAAATAGAGATATCATTAAAGGACCACTCTAGGCACCCAGACCACTTCAGCTTAATGAAGTGGTCTGGGTGCCAGGTCCTTCTAGGGTTAACCCATTTTTTCATAATTATAGCAGTTACAGAGAAACTGCTATAATTATGAATGGGTTAAGCCTTCCCCCTAATCCTCTAGTGGCTGTCTCATTGACAGCCACTAGAGGCGCTTGCGTGCTTCTCACTGTGATTTTCACAGTGAGAGCACGCAAGCGTCCATAGGAAAGCATTGTAAATGCTTTCCTATGCGACGGGCTGAATGCGCATTCAGCCGGCGGGGCGTAACAGAGGCGGAGAGGAGGAGGAGAGCTCTCCGCCCAGTGCTGGAAAAAGGTAAGTTTTTACCCCTTTCCCCTTCCAGAGCCGGGCGGGAGGGGGACCCTGAGGGTGGGGGCACCCTCAGGGCACTATAGTGCCAGGAAAACGAGTATGTTTTCCTGGCACTATAGTGGTCCTTTAATTGCTAATAAAAAAGAGAAATTCCAGAGAGACATAAATGATTATGCTACAAATAATGTTCGTAAGAAGCCAAAGATAAATAGAGTCTTTGAGAATAAGAATAACAATAGAAAGTTTCAAACAATAGTTAGGGAAGATGTGATCGAGAAAAAGGATAACTGGATGTTCCAGTCTGAAAGGAATTTTATGACTTTAATGGAGCTTCCTGTACCCCGGTTGGGTACCTCCGCCGACGGATGCTCCTAGTGCTTACCGAGGGCTCCAAGCACTTCTCCAGACACCATAAGTACTGCAGACCCCATGAACCAAACAAACTTACACAATAAAGTGCAAAACACACAAAGTGTGGGGGTGGTAGCAGAAGTATCAGTGCAACTCCACAGTGTTTTAAAACCACTTAAAAACCACAAATAAAATACAAGTAAAAGATAAAGATAGAGGAGTGCAAATACAAATGTATATGGTATACTTAGAGACACTGGTCAGTCCTTTAAATGTAACCTATATACAAAGAGATCCAAACATAGCATAATACTGTTTAACCAAATAATATAGTAAGTAAATGTGGATTTTCACTCACACTTTGCAGAGCCACGTATAGTAGGCTCTGACTATAGTTGCTCTTTAATAATTCCCTGGTATGCTGAACTCTACCACGTCTCCAGGATTCTCCACTTGGATCAGGATACAGGAGATATAATAATTCCAATAAAGAGTGGGGATACTTATTCAAAATTTAATAGTGTTCACAAATATACAGGGACATATATAAAGTGCATAAAACAAAATAGTAGCACTCAGGGCCGGCCTTAGGCCTTTAGGCGCCCTGTGCGAAAAATATTCACAGCGCCCCTCCATGGTCACATGCCCTCGTCCATCTTGTAAAAAGTGCTAAGCCTCTATTACATAGGTGTTACGTATTAACGTGATTTCTGGGCATATCATGCATATACACGTATATTAATACATTTGTAAATATTATAGGTGTAATAACACATATAATAATAATAATAATAATAATAATACACCCATATTAATATACATGTATATTTAAATATTACTCTTAGAAATCATGAGCAGAAAATTATATATATATATGGGCTAGAAGAATTCCTCCCACGTGTATAGATTTGGGAAAAACAAACCTATGTGAAGGCATACTCAAGCATTAGGAGTAAAAACACATTTCTAACAAGAGTGTCCTGACTCCCTGAAATTGCCATGCCATTATGTTGTGTGTGGAATAGGGATGCAGTGTGTGTAGGGAAAACAGTGTTGTGTGGGATAGGGATGTAGCGTGTGTGTGTGTGTGTGTAGGTTAGGTAATGTGTGTGTGTGTGTAAAGGAGATGTAGTGTGTATGTGTGTAGGAAACAGTGTGTGCATAGGGTATATAGTGTGTATGTGTTTAGGGAACATAGTGTGTGTGTGTGTAAAGGGGATGTAATGTGTATGTGTGTAGGAAACAGTGTGTGTGTATAGGGTATGTAGTGTGTATGTGTTTAGGGAACATAGTGTGTGTGTATAGGGAATGTAGTGTGTATGGGTGCAAGTTATGTAGTGTGTATATATAGGGAGCATAGTGTGTCTGTACATTTTGTAGTGTTTGTGAGATATCTAGTGTGTATGTGTTTATAGGGAGCGTTCTGTGTGAGTAGATTATGTAGTGTGTGAGTAGATTATGTGGTGTGCGTGTGTGTGTGGATTATATAGTGCGTATGTGAGTAGATTATGTAGTGCGCGTGTGTGTGTGAGTAGATTATGTAGTGCGCGTGTGTGTGTGAGTAGATTATGTAGTGTGTGTATAGGGGATGTTGTGTGTGAGTAGATTATGTAGTGTGTGTATAGGGGATGTTGTGTGTGAGTAGATTATGTAGTGTGTGTATGTGTGTGTGTGTTATGGAGTGTGTGTAGGTAACACAGTAAGGGTGGGATAGTGATGATTTGTGGGTAGGAGGGGGTGACATAAGGCTTTAAATGAGGAGATGGGAGAGCAATTTCAGGTTTTGTTTTCTTAAAATTAATTAATGTTGATTCCCCCCTTCTGCCCCCCTCCCTCTTGCATACCTTTGGGCAGGGATGGGGGAATACTGATGACCTGGTGGTCCAGCGGTCTCTGCCAGTCCTTGCAGAACAGGAGCCCTCCTCTTGCGAGCTCTGCGTTGATAGTATGAGAGCGTTGCCACGGCAACACTCTGAATGCCAAGCTCGCGAGAGGAGAGCAGATTTAAAGCGCTCAATGCTCGCTCCCATCATCCAAACAGTGGGCCAGTGAGGGAGGTCCTCAATCTACTCACCAGCCAATACCAAAGCAGAGCGCACTCTGTAAAGGTCGACCAGCTGGGGCGCAATCTTTCACCCACCAGAGCGCTCTGAGGTAGGGCAGGACCTGGTTGTGCGAGCTGTGTTGGTTGCCCGGCGCCCCTGTTGGCATGGCGCCCTGTGCGGCCGCACAGCTCGCACACCCCTAAGGCCGGCCCTGGTAGCACTAAATGTACAAAGACATATATAAAGTGCATAAAAAAGAATAACAACACTAACGCGTTTCGACTAGAATAAAGTCTTTTTCAAAGTGTATGAGGCAGTAATCACCATGTTGGATATTTATATCCTCTCTAACGTTCCAATTTGGCGCCCAAACATCTCCGTCGTGATGTCCTCCTCCTACTTCCTGGTTCTGGCGGGCGGCTTCCACGTTCCCGCCCTCTTTTTTTTAAAAAATACTCTATGAGTCTTCGCCAAGTTCTAAAGAATTTTTAATGGGAAGATCAATTTTTGCTCATCACTTGTGATGTCACTAGCCTCTACACCTGCATTGAGCATAATAGAGGTTGTGAAGCATTCAGACATTTTTTTTAAGAATCCTCTAATATTCACCCAATGGAAAAGATAGATTTTATTTTGGAAGCTATCCAATTGATTTTAACCAACAACTTTTTTTGGTTCGAAGATGAATATTATTTACAATGCAAGGGTACTGCTATGGGGAGCAGCTTTGCCCCCAGTTATGCTAATTTATTTATGGCATATTGGGAACAAACATATATTTATGCACAGCATGGCTGGGGAGAGAACCTGGACCTCTATAGAAGGTATATAGATGATATCTTTTTTATTTGGAGAGGAAGGGAGTCTTCAGTTTTAGAATTCTTAACCTTTTTAAACACAAATGAGTGAAATATTAAGTTGACCCATGAAGTCAGTAGTAACAAAATCAACATTTTCGACCTGAATATTCATAAAAAAAGATAATGAGATTAAAACGCGTACATTTTTTTTTTTTTTAAAGTAGACGTTAACAGTTTTATACAAAAAGAAAGCTGTCATTTTCACCCATGGCTTGATAACATTCCCAGGGGACAATTTTTAAGGTTAAGGAGAAATTGTTCTGAAGTACAAAAATATGACTTACAAACTAAGTTACTCAAACAACAGTTTTTAGATAGTCTATTCAAGCAATCATCTGAACGGAACGATTGAAAAAATGAGAGAACTAAATAGAGATGAACTGCTTGAATACATATATAAAGAAGATAATAAAGATACAGAAACTATTCCATTAATTTTTTAACTTTAATAAAAATCATGCTCAATTTAGACAGATTTTAATAAAAATTGGCATATCCTACACCATATATAGGGGACAAACCTAAAATTGTTTTTAGAGGGGCACAGAATCCTAAACAGATTTTAACCTCCAGTTTTATTCAACAGACAAAAAAAAGATTTTATTAGTTTATATAGGAGTTCTTAAAAAGTTTTTATTACTGTGGGAACTGTATGGGGTGCAGAGTATCTGAGATCCAATATAAGAAAATACTAGAACATCCTATCCTTTCCTTCACATACTAATTCAAGACAATTTAAGATTCAATCATTTATGACATGTAAATCTCAAAATGTTGTATATGTGCTCGTATGTCCTTGTGGCCTACAGTATGTAGGAAAAACATCCAGGTGTGTGGCGACGAGAATACGGGAGCACATATACAACATTAGGAGGGGCTTCAAGAATCATAATGTTTCCCTACACTTTCTGGAACATCATGATAAAGACCCCAGTGGATGGAACTTTTATGGGATTCAAATTATCACCAAACATTGGAGAGGGGTTAATATTGACTCCAATCTCAGTAAGTGTGAAATGGAATGGATTTTTAATTTGTAAATTCTGTCCCCCAATGGGTTAAACATGGATTTTGATATGAGTGCACCTATATAATTTTAACTTGCTTTTTACCTGTTTTTAATCTTTTGCTATTTTATTCAAAAATTTTTGGAATTTTTATAGGTCTCATTGATATTTTGTTGTGTGTGTTGAAAACATATCAGCCAGAATATAAATTTTTTGTTAAAATTATTTCCCCTTCATCTATTATGGGTAGGAGGTTATAACATGCCATTAAGCTGAATGTATCTAATACTTTATTTAACAAAGTTTTATGTGTTCACTTATCTAATTATAAAGTTTTATGACTGTATTGATTTATATATGTTTAGTTAAATGTCTGATGGTGAGGCATAGTTGCACAGTTGCCAGGAACTGTACTCAATAAAAATACCCAGATCAGGACTTTTAAAGATGGCGGAAAATGCCTTATGGACTGAGCACATCAATATCCGATATTGGCAGTAGCCGATGACATCAGACACAAGAACGTGATGATGTAAATTGAATTTCCATCATCACACTTGGATGGACGCCGGATAAGAGGAGGAGACCACGGAAAAGCAGCTAAAATTTGAGTTCCCATCGGATATAAAAGCCTGAGAATATGCACCTTGAGGAAGACCAAGCAGGTCGAAATGCGTTGTGCTTTATACCTTATGGACTTATGATTTATTTTTCTAACCTTTGTTTATACAGAAACCTTTTACTTTGTTTTGGTGATTAAAATCTTTTTAAAATTATCTCTATCTGAATTTCTGCTGAAATCTTGCTGGATTCCTGGTACCATTGGCCGCAATAAAAGTGGAGGAGAGGCGACAACCAGAACAAGTGATTCTGAAATGCCTATGTAGTCAGAGACTGCTATATGTGGCTCTGCAAAGTGTGAGTTACCAATTATATATGTATTTTAGCTGTTTGTAATAATAATTCATGGTCATCTTATTCGTTTGAGACATCCTGGCAGCTTTGACTGGCATAAACTCCAAGTTTTATTACATTTCATTTTTTCCAAGGCTCCAAACTTGTTCTTTTGGGAAGTCCTGACAGCTTTGACTGGTATCAATACCAGGTTCTATTACATTTCGTTCCTCCACGGCTTAAAATTACCCTGGGCAATGATGAATTCTTTTACCCTAAAAACTGTTAACATTTATAAGACTAAGCTTGGCTCAGGACCAAGTAAGGTTATGATTATGAACTATACTGTCCTTTGCTGAGCTATCATCACCCCTTCATTACCTAATTAATTCTAACTTTGGAACATGACCATCTGTTGTTTCTCGTAACCCATTTTAATTTAAACGAGTACTTCCAAACTAGCCTACTCACATGTTAACTCTTCTATATCCTGGACCTAAAATTCTATTCTGTAACCTTCGTAATCTTACAATTATGTAAATTACATTTTGTAAAGGAGGTCTAATGTATGACAAATAACCCTGCTCCCGATTTCACATTTCTCCCTGTATTTAATTTGACAATTTTTACCTCAAAAACATGCTATGTGTTATATTTAATATTCTTCACGTTGGAAGATTCTTGGACAGCAAATACATATTCTTTCAAGGTAGGATAACAGAAACAGGTATCTTCTTAAAGACCATCAGCATTTTTATAATTTTCCA